GATAAACATTCTCTTAAGATTAACAGGGCCCTTTTTATCATTAAATGTACATGAAAGAGACACAATACATATACAATCTTATTTCAGAGAAAGAAAGAAAGAAAGAAAGAAAGAAAGAAAGAAAGAAAGAAAGAAAGAAAGAAAGAAAGAAAGAAAAAGCATTAACAACAACACCAGAGTTCTACGGGACACCTAAGTTCTATCAAGCATAAGACGGAAAACCTAAAGCAGGATGGTAAGGAAAAGAGGGCTCCTGGCCTCTAAGTAGGGCAAAGGGCACAGGATGGTGCTGAGGTGAGACGGGCCTCTCTGCTGGGCTGGTGACATCTGCTGAGAGGCTCAGGTGAGACAGTAGCCGGGAGAAGGGACAAGACCAAACAACAGCTGCAAAGGTCCTAAGTACAAGGTTAGTGTGGCTGGACCACCACAGGTGGGGATGAGCACGTACTGGAGTGTGCATGAGGGGACACAACTAGGGAGGACTAAAGAGCAGAAATTGCCTGGTGGTCCATTTGCCTCTCCAGCATCTCTGCCTGCCCCTGTGATCAACAAAGCCAACGCTGCTTGTTAACTGGGTCAGTGTGACGGGATCTAACTGGTGGATGGTGCCAAGTGCTTCTAGTTCAAGGCAGGAGAAAGACCACAGGACCCAGCCTTTCCTTCCTGAAGATGACTGCACCTGATGATCAAAATCAACAGAATCTCTGAACTGCAGAAACACCGACAGATGCCCTAGTGAGTCATGGGGCTCAGAAAATAAACCTTATGCCAGTAAGTAAGCCAGGCTGACTAATATCATGCCAGTAAAAGGCTCAGAGTTTATTCAAGTGGAGTAGAAAATCATTTCAGATTTTGAGCTGGACGATAACGAGTCCTTACACACCTTTATTTATTTTCCTTATGGTTGGTAGGTCCAAAGCAGACCTCCAAAATGGCAGTGATGGTGACAACATCCTAAGCAGAAGGACTTGGCTGGGTAAACAGAAGGATTGTTCCTGGTTAAACAGAAGCCCAAAGTTGTGCTTTTGTGTACCAGAAAATCAGATCTCACAGGGCATGTTTCTGTTTAACAGGAATCTCCCTTAATGCCTTACTCTGCCCGCAAAGGCCAACCACCTTGGGCAAGGGCATCTAGCTCCTGGCCTCTCAAAAAAGTATCAGCTCAAAGACTCCCGCTGTGCAGACTGTCATATAGAATCCACTTTCTTTCCCATTATTTTGCTTCTCTCTGCAATGCAGCCTCACCCCTGCCCGCCATTGCCTTTGCAGTTTGAGCCACAAATAAACCTTTCTTTCTGCCCGTGGAATGGTCTAGCTCGGTGGTTTCCCTGCACTCTTGCACTCTTGCCATGGTGAACATTGAGACTCCTACACATTCAAATGAGCACTTTTCTGTGTGAGGAATAGGCTATGGGGAGGAGGGCCCGCTAAGCAGCTACATCGCAGGGGATCTGATTCTAAAGTAAGGATGGCTTGATGGCGGTGCTTACCGTGGAGAAGGGTGGCATACAGTCTGAAGACAAATTGTGATGGTGTGACAAAAAGTCTCCAAGGTTTGGGGCATGAGCACACGAGCAAAGAGTAAGACAGGGTGAGCAAAGGATGAGGCATTATGTTTTAAGTGTCTCTTCCAGAGAGTGGGATGGAAAGAGAAAGGGAAGGAGGGGAAAAGAGTGATAGAGAGAGCTCAATAATAAAGCGTTATAAAGTGAGTGCGATTTGGATACTTCCAACATTCCAAGATCACAAGACACACAGATGCAAAATGTTCTCAAACCACATCCAGAATACATGAAAATATCATAATAAAGCTGAGTTTATTCCAGGAATAAGATAGATTCATTCCAGGAATGCAAGTGGTTTTTTTGTTTGTTTGTTTTTTTGCTTTAAAAAATATCTCTATTTGTAGAATTTACAGTGTTAACAGAATAGAGGAGAAAAGTAATCTCAATCAATGCAGAGTCCTGGTGTGGTGATACACACCTATAACCTCAGCATTTGGCGAGTGGAGGCAGGAGGATCAGGAATTTAAGGACATCTTTGGATACAAAGCAAATTTCAGTCCAGCCTTGGTTACATGAAACCCTCGAAACAAAACAATAACAATAAAAGTGAAGAAAACCATTTGATAAGACCATTTGATAAAGCATTCATTCATGCTTTAAGGAAACAGGAATATAGAGAACATCCATCTGAAAAAGAAAAGCATCATGAGACCCTAGTAACAGCCAGATATACTGGTGCACGGCTGTGATAACAATGCTCAGGAGGCAGATACAGGGAGGTCGATAATTGGAAATACTTTAAGCCCCTGTGTTTGAGGGGCATTTTTTTTTTATGTTGTTTGCAGTACCCATCAGACTACTGAAGAAATGTCAAAAATATTTTTTTTCTCTAGATAAGTATAAAAGGAAGATGCCTTCTGCCATTCACTCTGCCCTTGTACTAAAGGTCCTACTTCACAAAACAGGTACCAGGAAGGAAGAGAGGATAGAAGGAGAAGGAGGGGTCAGGAATGAAGAAATAAAAACTGTAATTACTCACAGATAACACAAATTTATCTTTGGAAAATTTTGCAGAATGTGTAGATGAATGACGATAATTAATACATGTATTTCTCATAATCACTGGGTGGAAGGTGAAGTTACAAAAGTTAGTTGTTTTATGTAAGCAGCAATGGACAATCAGAAAGTAAAAAGTATTTATGGTCACACCAAATTCACCAAATAACTATAAAAATATGCAAGGCTAGGACATGTACTTGGAAAACACAAAAAAATGTGATTGTGAGAAAATGAAGGAGACTTACATGGATAAAATGTTAAACTATGTTCAGAGATTGAAAAAAGTGAATGGTGTGAAGATGACACTCTTTCACACTTGATCTGCTTATGCTTTGAAACTGACGTGCTGGTTGTAAAGCTTATGCAGATGTGTGAAGGGAAATGCCTGTAACAGCCAGACCCAAGGAACACTTAGATTGCCAGATAGCAGCACTTACTGTGACACCGCAGTAGCCCCAGTAAGATGGTGTTACTAATGGATAGACACACAGGGTGGAGAGGGCTGGGACACAGCACAGGGCTAGTACAAGAAACAAACAGAGCAGTAGCCCAGCTCCAGAGAGAGCTACAAATCCAGGGGCGTTTGACTTATGACAAAGGTGAGGATGCTCACGTAAGGGCTAACATAACCATTTCAGTAACTGTTGCCCAGGCAACCGGGTACCCGAATGGTCTCTTGCTTCATGCTGTACTACAAAACCAAGCACAGGCTGTCACTGGCCTCCTCATGAACTGTAAAACAATAAAACAGCTAGAGGGAGAAGATGAAGACCATCTTCAGGGGAGCAGAGGATCCTTTAACGTGACACAGAAGGCACTAACTAACCTCAGGAAAAGGGTGAAGCCACCACTACAGTGAAGGCAAACATCTGTTCATTAAAAGATGCCATTCAGGGGAAAAAGAACATATTTTCTGGAAATGTATAAAGGACATTTTTAAAGTATTTTTTATAAATCAGTAAGAAAAAAAACTGAATCCAGCAAATAGAGAAATTGCTAAGAGACTAGACCAGCCAGGTCATAATAGAAAACACTCACTCAGGTGTGAAGCCTGTGGCCTGGAAAGATGGCTCCATGGTTCAGAGCAGCTGCTACATAGCTACAAAGTGTGGAGTTTGGTTCCAGCAGCCATGTAACCAGTCAGGTGCTCCACCACTTTAACACCAGCATTGAGGAGGAGCGGAAATAGGAGGGTTTGCTAGCTTCCAAGCTAGCCAAGAAAATGGGGAAAGGGGGGAAGCAGAAAAGAAAAAAAAAAGGTATTCAACCTTACTTAGTATCCATCAGGAAAATGGAAATTGTAACTACAATCAAATACTGTTATGCATATCCAAAAGAGGAAGATTAGACAAAAAAAAAATCATGACTGCTTAAGAGGGACTCTCTAACATTGCTGGAAGGAATGCAAGGTAGGACAGTCTCTTAAGAAAACCGTTTGGCAGAATCTGCTGCAGCTGAATGTGCATACACTCAATGCCCGATGCCTTGAGACACCACCCCTAGGTACAGCCTCAAGAAATGCACGCATATGCACACCCAAGCATATGGACAAGGATGTCCGTTGGTTCTGCTCAAATCCAAATGCATATTTAGTCCAAATGGGTATGCTAGAGAGAGTGCGTATTAGGAGTATGCTAGAGAGCCACACGGCAGCAAGAGCCAACCACCGGGGAGGGAGGGAGATTCGCCAGCTGGTTAGTCCTCAGCTGACTGAGTTTTCTTAGTTTCACCCCAGACAGGCTCAGTGGGAGGCCCAGCACCTGCTGAAAGCAATAACCTGTGAGAGAGCCCGGGGCTGGGTGAGCCCCATGTAGCTGCCCCACCATCAAACTAGTCATGAACAAAACAGATAGTCACAGTATTTCAAGCACCGTATTGAGGAGACAGATTACGCAGCATTACGTAACCAATCATACATTGAAATAAAAAAAAAGTAGAATATATTCAGCAAAGTATGTATTGTTTTTGTACAATGTATGATGTACACCTACACCTGTAATCCTAGCATCCAGGAAGAGGGAGCAGGAGGATTGCAGGTTCAAGGCCAGCCTCGGGTGTAGTAGTGAGGCTGTAGTAGTGGGTGTTTCAGTTAAAATAAACAACAGATTAAAAAAAAAAAACAGAGCAGAATATATTCAACTTGTAAGCCACTTTTAAGTGTTTAAGGAAGGAAAACTAACTAGCTAAACTTCTAAAATCCTTTGAAGGACTATCATTTAATGCGAGACTCGTAAACAGGGCACAGTTATTTGCGTTTTAAAATTAAAGACTGAAGGGAAATTTGGGGGTTTAGAATTTTCTATTTCAGCTGAACCTTAACTCTGGAAACAAAAATTAAAAATAAAAGTCACTGGATCCATTCAGACAGTTTAAAGCAACAACACAGGGAGGAGCGTGGAGTGCTTTATTGAGTGTTTGCGGGATGCCATGCCACATCATAGGTGCTTTACCCAATCAGCTCGCGACAACCCTATGACATCACTTCATAGCCACGCTAACAGACCAGGCTCTGAGGCCGCGTAACCTGCCAAGGTCTTGCGACTCCATAAAAGATGGAGTCAGGACCGGTGCCTCTGGACCCCTCCTCCCGGAAGGAAGGTTTAAGAAGGTGAGTTTCTCCAGGACACCCCGGGGGCAGATGTGGTGCTGGCATGGCATGTCCATTTCCCTTCTTGCCCCAGATCTTTCTGGAGGGTGAGAGGAGGGACGTGAGTACAAGTGGCCATCCAGGGAACATGGAAAAGGGCCATCTGGCCACAGAGGCAGCAGCTCTGTGACCCTTAGAGCTCAGGAGTGTGAGTTGGAGCCAAAGGGGCCTGTGCTCTGGACATGACTTGAGAAGAGTTCTGGAGAGGACTTCTAGAAGCTGCAGAGAGAAACAAAAGAAGGGTGTCAGCGTCTGGCTCCAGAGGGTTTGCCAAGTATCGTGGGATCCTTAAGGGGCTTCCATTTCCTCTTGGACCCCAGTTTTAGCTGTGCCCAGTGCCTAGCCATGGCAGTTGTGCCTTTTAATTCTTTCATTCTGGAAGGTGGAGCGGTTACTTCTGAAGTTATTCAGTCCTGTCCTCTCGGGCCACAGGTGTGAGACAGAGCCAGCCTCTGTTGTCACTTCCTGAAGAAAGTGTTCTGCTTCCTACTTAATGCTGTTGTGCTGGCCAGTCTATGCCAGCATGACACAGGCCGAAGTCATCTAAAAGGTGGGAACCACAATTTAAAAAAAAAAAATGCTTCCATAAGATTGGGTTGCAGGCAAGCCTGTTGGGCATTTTCTTAACTAGTGATCAATGAGGGAGGGCCTGGCCCACTATGGGTGGTGCCATCCCTGGGCTGGTTCTATAAGAAGGTAGGTTGAGCAATAAGGTTGAACAAGCCAGTAAGCAGCACCCCACCGTGGCCTCTACGTCAGCTCCTGCCTCCAGGTTCCTGCCCTGTTTGAGTTCTTGTCCTGACTTCCTTTGGTGATGAACAACAATATGGAAGTGTAAGCAAATAAACCCTTTCCTCCCCATGCTGTTTTGGTTGTGGTGTTTCATCACAGCAAAAAAACCCTAACTGAGACGTGAACAAAGAAGCAAAACAGCCTTCGGGCCTACTTCTAAGAGCCTAGCGTCGGCCAGGTGTCTTCCCATAGCTGTCTGCTTGCACTGGCAGCCATCAGCTTCCCTTCTGAAGGAAGAGTGTGAATGAGGTATGGCAGCTCTGTCTCTGGCAGAACGCGTAGAGGGGAGCAGCATGAGGTTGGGAGAGGATTCTGCCAGCTGCCAAGCTGGAAACCAAACCACTTCCACAGGGGCCACTTGTTGCTGAGTTGTTGGAAGTGCTGTCCCCACCAGCCCTTCCCCATAGGGTGGGAAGGCAAAGGGTAGGTTTCAGAGCCGGGAAGGAACAGTCACTCAGTCACGTGGAAGCCGTCTAAACTATGACCAGTTATGACTGTTTTCAGCTCATTCTGAGCGTTCTGTGGTTTGCAAGTAAATCCACGCATTGTTTCCTTCCTCTCGGCTATTTAAATAACAACGGGGTACACACGGGAGGATCTGGAGGTGAGCAGTGGTTCTGGGAAAGATCCCACGATAACTTGGACTCATTCTTAGAAAGGAAAAATGAGCTCAAGGCTGAAAGGTAGAAGGATTTCAGCTTGGGATGAAGAATGAGTTGCTTCTGTGGTGTGAATTACACGCTGTGTGACATCTCACAAGGCATCTCGTGGCTTTACAAAGAGAGTTAGGCTCCCGGAAGAGATGCCTCAGGTTGTTAGCACTAAGGTGATTTCTTATGCTGACATGGAGTATATTCTGTCCAGATTTGCTTCGCTGCAGAGCCGAACACAGTCTCCTTCTTATATAGCTTGCTGCTCGTCCCCTGATGTTTGGAAAACATCCTTAGACCTGGAGCTTTTTAGGCCTTTATTTGAATGTTGCTGCTTTATTTATTTATTTATTTATTTATTTATTTATTTATTTATTTATTTATGTTTTTATCCTCAGAGAAGTGGGTACTGACTTTGAAGGGTTAGGACTTAAAATTAGCAAAAGACACAAGGTTGCTTAAGGAAGAGAAGAGAGGGCAAAGCTGCTAAACATCCAAGCAACAAAATGGAAGAGAGCAGGAGACAGGTGGGGAGGGATAGAGTGAAGAGTGAACAAGAGGGATGCTTAGAGCCACAGACTGAGACCGCAGGACCAAGGTGGAGTCAGGAATGGAAAAAAAAAAAAAAAAAAAACCAGAAAGAAGAGCAGAAGCCAGAGCTCTGTGAACTGAAGAAGTGGAGAGGCAACCTGGGCAAAAGGAAGCACTCACAGTTCACCCTGGTCAGGAAGGAAGGGAATCGGAGCAGGAGGTGTGGAAAGGCAGAGAGGGGGGGCAAGGGCAAAGGAAAGGAAAGTAAGCTATCATGGGCTTTAGAGCCTTGGAATTACTCCACCGGACATGATAGCTTCCATAGCTCTAAAGCCAATGTCTGTCTCCATGGCCTTCATCTCTAGCTTCTTTTTATCGGCTATGTGGCTTGTTTGAAAATATTGCACCCGCTCTTTCACTCGGTGCACCTCAGAGGCCTTCCTCACTGAACTAGGTCTTGACATCTGTGGGTGCTTCCTGAAGAATAATGGGTCCTTTCCGGGCACCCCTGTCACTTAAAATGCCTTCCAGATTGTGGATGGTGGGGTTTTCCTCAGAAAAATCCAAGGCTCTACCACAGTCGGGTAGAGTCCGGTGGAAAATGTCAAAGTATTGTAAGAACAATCAGGAGAACACGAAAGCAACTTCCCAGAACTGCTGAACACAGCCTTCCCGGTACACACTCCTAAGAGGGAACTCCTGTTCTCTCAGGGAGGTCACCTGGGTGCAGGACCTGACCTCTGCCCACACATGTGGGCTGCTGGGGAAATCCAGGCTGTCCTACATCTATCACAGGAAGATTTAATCAAAGCAATGTCCAGGCCTCTGCCTGAGTGACCAGCACCTTCTGCCACTGGGCAGGAGGGAAGCAAGACAGGGCCATTTGCTTCCCAGAGTTCCCTGCCATCCCCAGTCACTCTGATCTTAACAGTCCTTCCTAGCCGAGCCTCAATAGACTTTGCAGAGACAATCGGTAGAACCACGCCCACATTCCCTCCCCTTTGAAATACATGCTACATACAAATCCTCCCTTACCCCCAGCAGTAGTCTTAGCTATTAAGCAAAATCTAGTCCCGCCCACCCCGCGAAAGATTAGCAGCCCATTGGCTGGCTCTAAACGTCAGTCAGCCCATTCTCCATGCAGGCACCTGCTGTGAGCACACGCAGGGTAAGCAGCGTCAGGAGCAGGCATATTCCCTTCCCTCTGCGTACTTACGTAGGCTCCTGAGCCGGTGACTGTGCCCATGTTAGTTCCGCCCTCACCTCATGTACTCCCCATCACTCCTATAATCCATAAACGACTCTGATCCCGAAACCTCCTCAAAATCCTCCAGCACCAGACTGGTGGAGTCCTCACCCAGGGTGCCACTGTCAGGCCTGGGCATCCTGGCCCGGGGCAGAGGCACAGAGACGTTGGTGGTAGCTGGAGGTGGGGAGCAAGGGGGTGTTGGCAGGATGCAAATGGGCCTGGCCTGAGCAGGGGACACAGCCGCCTCAAAGACTTCTTCCTCATCTTTCTCGGACTCTGGTCCTCCATCTGAGGCTGAGGGACCCAGAACATGGTAGAGGCTGGGGAGGCGGATGTCAAAGCGCAGCCCAAACTTGGCAAACAGCTTGTCGTTGAGGTTATAGAGCTTCTCCGAGATGTCGTAGCCCAGCAGGGCCGCGAAGAGGCGGGAGATGTATCGCTCTCTGTTCAGGAGAAGGTGAAGATTTTTCCGGGGCCAGGAAATGTAGCTACATTCCGTCTCAGCCGTCAGCGTAACCTGCGGGGTTAGGAGCAGAGAGGGGAGGGTTTGACGTGCAGAGAAACAGGTCGCCCGTTTTGGTAGCTCTCTGTGGCCTAGTCGGGAGGAAGCCCGGGGACAGCCTTCTCGTGTGCTGTGTGATGTACATGGCTCGTGTCAGGAGCCGCTGTCAGTCCCTTGCTCTCTTGCCCGTCACCTCCTGGAGCATATCCCTTCTCCTTGGTTCTTAAGTGCTTCAGTTCCAAAGCTGATAGCAACAATGGTTGCAAAAGATTCTGAGCAGGATGGGAAGAAAGGATGGGAGGCTTCCTAGGGCACTGAAAGAGATCAAACTGAAGACTGTTCATTTTAAGAACAAAGAAGTAAGACCCAGGCTTGGTGACCTATGACTGTAACCCCAGCTACTTGGGAGGCTGAGGTGGGGAGATGACAAGTTCAAGGTCATCTTGGACACCTCAGTGGAGAAAATCAAGGTCAGGGAAGGAGAGAACTTAGTGATAGAACGGTTGAGCCTTCGCCTAGCATGTGTGTGTGTAAGGCCTTGGTTGAATCTCCAGTACGAGGTGGAGAGGTAAACCATGTGTTGGGGCACAGTGTCGTCAAAAGCGCTGCGGGGGTGGGGGGAGTTTATTGCAAGAAAAGGCTACAGATTAAGTATGGCAAGCTGTATCAGATGAACAAGGCACCGGGGCCCAGGTCCCCAAATCTGCTCTTGACTTGGTTACAAACCCAAAGGCTCTCAATGACCCCAGGGGGAATAAAGGCAGAGAAAGAAAAATCCAGGAGCGGAATGGAACAGGTCCCCTCCTTTAGTTAGTTTCTTAAGGGATTTCTGCACATTCCCTGTGCCCAGGATACAAACTAGATCATCCCAACAGGAGAAATAAGCAGCAGCATGTGATTGGCATACGGTAGGGCTCCATGACCCTTGTTAGAATGATGAGCTGGGCATGGTGGCTCATGCCTTATAAGCCCAGCACTCAGAAGGCGGAGGCAGCGGGCCAGGAACTGGAAGCCACACCTGGGCTGCAGAATGAGTTCTAGGATAGCCTGAGCTACAGAGTAGGACCCTGTCTCAAAACTAAAACCAAAGATGAGCAGCAAAGCTAAGATTAAAATGGACTCCTTCCAAGGGTAGTATAGAAAGGGGGAATAAACTTAAGACGGTTTTGAATGATCTGGTTGACAACACCCTTTGGCTGATAGGGTTACAGTGCATTTGTAAGTGGAGAAGGTGGAAGAGGTGAAAATGGCCATCAGGACTAGTCTTTACTGAGCCATGACTCCTGCCAGGCACTGATTTGGGTGCTTTTTTTCTCTCTCTCTCTTTTCTTTTTTTAACTGATTATGAAGTATGGTGCTGGCTTTCCAAGCATTCTCAATTAGAGACTATACAACCCCTTAAATGCTTTCCTTTCAGGGCCAGAAATATAGCTGAGGGGCTTACAGCACTTGCTGTTCTTGCAGATGGACCTGAGTTTGTTTCCCAGCACCCACTCACAACTGCAGTTGTTTAGTTTTGTCGTTGTTGTTTTCGAGACAGGGTTTCTCTCTGTAGAACTGGCTGTTCTGGTACTTGCTCTGTAGAGCAGGCTGGCCTTGACTTCACATAGGCTCCAGTGCCACCACCAACACCTGGCTTGAAAGTTTAAAATAATAATAATTTTTTTTTTCTCAAGACAGGTTTTCTCTGCGTAGCCTTGGCTGTCTCGGGCGACTTTGTAGGACCAGACTAGCCTCAAACTCACAGATCTGCCTCCCCGAGTGCTGTGACTATAGACATGTGCCAACATGCCCGGCTAAAAATAAATCTTTTAAACAGACACACCTTAAAAAAATATCTCGCCTTGACCATTTTACCTCCCATCACCCGCTCCCCTCTTCCTCAGTATCCTCCCCCACTTCCTGCTCCTCGACGTTTCCTACTTCATCTAAACGGGCCCTGAATTAGTCACCTAGGCCAGAAATTGCTGATTTCTGTTGTACCCCTTTCCCAGCTGTGTAACATCCGTTAATTACTGTTTTTGGGCACGTTGAGAGAATTCTGAGGAGAACGCACTCACAGTCTGCCCATCGCCTATGCCTGATGGCATGGCTGTCATGCTCTGTCGTGGCCTGTGCCTCAATGTCCTTACCAGCAAGTCCCAGCAAAGAAACTAGTGTCAGGCAGAGAGCAGATGAGCCTGACCTGCAGGCAATCAATGTCCTCAAGGCCAGGCACAGGGACCGTGGGTGTTCCCCTGTGCAGGCTGCTCTTAGACACCCTGTCTTCCTGGGGGTTCTCAGGATGCCAACACTCCTCGAGTAACCTCTTGACCTCTTTTTGGGTTCATTTTCTCTTTTTTCTTCCTCTCCCCAACTTCTTAGCAGAGGAGGCTGGGTTCTTGAATCACTTGTCTGTCCATGTGTTCCCTAGGCAACGCTATCCCATCCAGTGGATTTTAGTGTTAGCTGCATAAAACCCATTCTGAAAGTTATCTCTCACTCCTAGATTCCAGACTTGATTATCCAACTGCCTTTGCAACAGCCCCCTTGCTGTCCAATGTGAACCAAGCTGAGCACAACCTAAGATGCATGTCTAACACCCATTGGCAGCAACAACTAGAAGCCTCCTCATCCTTCCAGGGACTCGGGTCAGAAGCCTCCTTCTTCATTAAGTAAGACTCGCTTGTTAGAAACCTTCTGAGCTCCATCTGGAAAATACATGCTCTGCTCTGGTCCTTATGTAATCTGGCTCCTGTGACAATTCTGCCGCTTCCCCTTCTGCTAGCTGCTCCCCTTTCTGTACCTGAACCTTGCAGCCCTAACTCAGGACTTTAGCACTTGCTCTGTCCTCTATCTTACAGATGTCCAGAGTAGACACTGTCACCTCTCAAAGCCTTTGCTCAGCTATCACCCGTTTAACAGGGACACCTGTGGACAGTGCATTTACACTGCAAGCTTACACCGAGTTCTCTGCTCCTCTTTTAATTCGCAGTTATGATTTTTCTATTCATTATATCTGAAGTGAATAACACAAGGGAAGACTAACAGTTTTGTAGGTTGCCAAACAACCTAGTGCCATTTTCTTGAGTCTGTTATAAAGTCCTTCCCTAGAGTCTAGAGAGATGGCTCAGCGGTGAAGAGCTCGTCCAGCTCTTCCAGAGGACCAGAGTTTGGCTTCTTGTGCCCACGTCAGGCCACTCACAACATCCTGTAACTGCATCTGAAGCCTCTGTACCTATGTATGCCTTACCCTATCCCCTATGCACTTAAGAACCCTTCTCTGAAGGTGCTCTCGAAATGTACTTTGTGTGTATGTGTGTGTTAGGGGTGTGTCTGAGTGCGTACATGTGTGTGTGTGTGCGTGTGTGTGCTGGGTTGTGCATGTACACGTGGAGGCAGAGGTCAACTCCAGTTACCTTCCTCTATTGCTTTACACCTTAATTTTTGAGACTGAACCTAGTACTTGACTGGCTATCCAGCAAGGCCCACAGATCTGCCCGTCTCTCCTCCCCCAGTGCTGGGAGTTACAGGAATATGTCACCGGGTCCAGCTTTCTTTCTGTGGGTGCTGGGGATCTTAATTCAGGTTCTCATGCTTGAACAGCAAGCATTCACCTACCGAACCATGCCCCTAGCCCCCAGAAACCCACTTTTTGGTTGGTTCCCACGTGCATACAGGACTGCCAGTAATAAAGTTTTGAGAAAGTGCCACGCCTTTTCTCTATGAGAACATGATGTAAATAGGAGATGAGGACAGGAAAACAGGATGCCCACTGCAGCCTAACGATGAATTCTGTGGGGTGCACCCGTGCTCTGCCCTTGATGAGGAATGAGAGTGTCACACTGCCAGCAGCTCTGGTGTCACTGAGTGGCTGGGGTGCTGAGATTTGAGTTAAATGAGTCGTGAGTTAGGATTTAGGTGACCACTAGGACTGTGCTCACAATCAACAAAACTACATGAAGGGCAAGGTCAAGACGAACTATAACTCAACAACATTTGATATCTGCAAAGAGGAAACGGGACTTTACACAGGCAACAGCCAGGGTGTGGCCTCACTGCTTCTAAATGAGGCACACAGGCAAGATATAAAAGGTGAATATGAGCATGCTTACATTCCAAACAGGGAGGCCATCTGGGGTAACAGCCCTTCTTTTGGAGCATGGCCCACCTGCTCCTCCCTGTCCGTGCCATAGCCTGGCCTGTCTGGCTCCAGCCACTCAGCTCTTGGTCATTCTCCTGGCCTAGGGGAGTTCCCAGAGAATGCCTCTGGGCAGAGCAGAGAGGGAGGGCATGAGACAAAGGTTCTGTGATTGGAGGGGGTCAGTGGCTGGTGGCCCTGGCCGTGGCAGCAAGACACTCTCTCTGACAGTATCACTGCGAAGCTAGGACTAGGACGGAAGCAGGCCCAGACAGTGGCACTGCCTGGCGTGTGTCTGTTCCGGGGTTAGTGCATATACTGGCTAGAGGACTCTCTGGTAGGCATCACAGAAGACACATAGACCCCAGGACCAGCTAACTGTCTGGCAGAGGGGTGAACAGACCACTCTTCTGACAACCACTCTCTGGCTGAGCACATGATACTCTGGGGCCTCAGATGCTCTGTCTGTTAATCAGAATAACAGTAATGTCCAATCTAGCAAGCTGTGTGACTCGGCAAGGCAATGAAAATGCAATGCACGCCACATGCTAGCCCTTGGCAACCCAGAACCACAAGTGTGAAGGACTGCCGAGAGAACAGCGGGGGGTGTTGAACACGAGTGGCCAGGGTCCCCCCATGCCCCCCCCCAGTGGCTGTGTGTGACCCATAGAGTCTTCTGAGATACTAACTGCTCGTGGGTAACCAGTTCAGGAAAAACTGTGTTCTTGGGACTGTCTTTTGGAGTGTATGTACTGATAGAGACGGAGACAGAGATGGTCATTAGAATAGAGAGCAATGTGCACACAGGCAGTATAAGCAAAAGGAAGAGCTTACGCAGGCAGGGGGCTGCAGCAAACTGTGGGGCACGGAGGCCAGAAGGTCAACCTGGGCAGCCCTCATAGAAGGTTTCTGGGGAACATGGTGGTTTGTTTAGAACAGAAAAATGCATTTCAGGTACAGGGGCAAAAGCAAGGTCAAGGCACGGAGGTACCGGTACTCTAAGTAGAATGAGCTTTTTTATCCTGTAGACATGAGTCTTTTGGAGGAGCTGCGGGCACCCAAGTGACATGACTGCCTGTCAGTGGCCAGTACCAGCCTTCCCTGGTCCCCAGACCCAGCAGCCCAGGAGCTCTTCTCGAAGAGAAGGCAGAGGTGAAGATCCCACCCACTCTTGGCATCACATTTGGTGGCGGTCAAAGGGCAGATGGGAGAGAGGGTGGCAATGTTGCCGGCTTACAGAGACAGGTTAATGATGCTGCCACGGGGCTCCTTATTACCTGGAAGGTCCCCTCCTCGGAAGGCTGCAGTGATTCCCATTCAGGAGAGTCCATGAACTGGTATGGAAAGATGTAGTGTAGAAACTGCCCGTCCTGGCTCACTCGAACCCTGACAGAAGGAGAAAAGAGACTGAATGGGAAAGGAGAATGGCTGCTCCTGCACCCTCTGTTAAAGTCACTTATTGCTGATTAGCTCAAATCCTTCAGCAGAAATACCCAGCTAAAGTGTGGAGAGCTGAAGCAGATACAGCCCAATTAAACGTGGAGACTAAGCGCTCCTGGTCCTCCTCCTTTTCACCATACATGGTTTTCTCTTGCACACTGCAGGAACAGAGTCCTGGGGAGGAAAGGGGGTTGTTAAGAGCACTTAGGTGTCTAGCATAGTGACTTAAGTGTATGATTCTAGCGTAGTGGATCATGTATGTATGAGCTCATGGGTGGCCACTTAACATTTAGGAGGCTGTGGCAGGAGGATTTCCATGAGTGTGAAGCCAACCTCACCTATGTAAGTGTCAAGGCAGGTAGGACTAAAGTGAGACCCTGTATCACCACTGCCAACACACACACACACACACACACACACACACACACACACACACACCAAAAAGAGGAGGAGAAAAGAGAGGGATGGAAAGAAAAAAAAAGGGAGTTAAAAAAAAAACAAACTCTCCAAAACTGTCTTAGGCATAGGCCATATCCCAAAGCAATAAGAAAAACATCTCTGCAGGTGAGATCTGGACGTTACCTAGTTTAAAAATCTCTCTGGGAATTCCACTATGTATCCAGGATGCAAAGCACTGTGCTGGGACTCTGCTGTCCACTAACTACATGTGGCTCTTTCAGTTAAGATTTACATTCATAAGTTAAAGACAGTTAACAGTCCAGTTACTGTGACTACATTAACCACAGACCAAGCTCCTGTGGTCCGTGGCTGCCATATTGCATGGCATGGATGTAGACTGTCTCCGTTGCCATGGAAGGTGTCGCTCTGCCTTTCCCCTTCCATGCAGGCTACGTGAGGAGCAGTGCTCGGAATAGCACATGTTCGCAAGAGAAAGGAGACAGCATGTGAGAAAGGCAAATGGCTGCTTCAGGTGTGCCTGCCCATTAAGCCATTATGGTAATTCAGGGTAGACTGGGATTTTTTTTTTTTTTTTTTTTGGTTTTTGGTTTTAGTACTCTTAAACATATCTGAAGAGAGTAGGGAAAAATAGGAGCAAGGAGGAAGGGAAGGAAAGAAGAAAGAGAGGATAAATGGACAAAAAAGAACAAAGATGTGTTTGTGTGTGTGTGTGTGTGTGTGTGTGTGTGTGTGTGTGTGAAGAGATTAAAACCTCAGGAAAAAGCATCACTAGGAAAAGACGTCAGGAGAGAAGGAAGCCCATGACCTGTGTCATATCTCTTCCTCAGGTAAGGAAGTTGCTTCCCAAAGCATGCCACCTAGACGTGACACTGTCTGTCTAATGTCTAACCAGGCCCAAGGCACGCCAAAGTGGTTTTTAGTGGGTGTGCTATATTCTTTATCGTTGGTGTCCTCCTTGATCACATCAGTGGCAGGTCATTTCCCTGTACTGTAATAGCTTAGGCAGTGACCTGTTCAGGAGGGCTGGACATGAAGGAGTTGGTACAGTGTGTCCTCTGTGAAACTAAAAGAGTAAGCATAGTTCATCAGGGTGACGGGCTTTGAGAAGGTCACTTTGCTGTCCGAGTATCGAAAGGGATGGCTGCCCTTGTCAAAATCAAACAAGAAGAGCTTCTGGGATTTGAGCAAAGGGCCCCAAGGGACACTCCACACAGGATAGGGAGGTCTTCACAAGGGCCTGCACTTCCTGGAACAGAAAGGGTCTCTTCTCTACCTAGAGGTGTTCAGCCTCTCGCCACCGCCAGTCGTCGGTGAGTCGTCGGCGAGAAGCCTTCTCCTTCTTGTCCACTCAGCAAAGCTGAGACAGCATAACAGTGGAAGACAACAGTGAAAAAGAACAGCAACAAACCCCTTACTCCAAACCTTGAAAATGAGGGGGGGGGGACACGGAAGTGGCCTGATTTCTAACTGTTGATGCTTAGTACACTAGGGAAAGCTACGGAGAAAGGCAAGCCTTATTCTCCCCTTCCCAGGGACACAGTCTTATACGAGCTCACAGTAAATTTGTCGTGTGCAAGGCAGCAGAACCATGTGGTAACTGTGTGTTTCTGCTAAATGAACACCGTCCAGAGGAGAGGCCATTCTTGGCTAGCCCCGGTCCCCTCCCCAGAACAGGAGAGCCGGGAGGGGCAAATAGCATGGGCCTCACCAATGAGCATGTCCCGTGCATTCACCGTTTGTCTTAGGAGCATGGAAGTGGGTAGTGAACACCGAGGCGCTGGTCAGTGCCGAGCTGCCTACAGCACGTTGCATGTGTTTACCCTGTCACTGCACTCACAAAAGCGTCTCCCTCTAACAAGTCTCCCATCATAACTCAGTCAGCCCACGTCTTCCAAATCCCTGGGCATGAAATCAAAGCCCACACAATGATGTGGAGACTATACATGAAGACATCCATACACATTAGGACGGTTGAGAGTGCCTGTCCCACCATCGTCAGAAGCCTCTTTCACCACTGTGTAGTCGCCATCTTAGTTTGTTTCTTCCTCCCTCCCTCCCTCCATCTCTCCTTCCTTCCCTTTATCCCTTTCCCCTTCTTCCCTTCCCCTTCCTCTTTTTATTCTTCCCTCTCCTTTCCTCTTTCCCCTCCTCCTCATTTTTCCCTTTCCTGTGGCTAGAACGTAATGATTACCGTCTTTTTTGAGCCCCATGCCTGGTCTCCAGCAAGGATGGATGGGATTGTCTATGGCCAGGTGCCATGAGGCCACATTTCAAAGGGTGCACAAATGCCAACAAAGCGGGGCACCCAGAGCCCCATGGAGGTCCCTCATTGAACATCAATGGCCACTGTTGCCATGGAGGCTACGTGGACACTGAAGCCAGCCAAGGGCCGACCATCATTCTTCCTCTGAGAAACATGTCTCCTCTAAATACCCAAGGGAGACATCTGTGGGCATCCCTGCTTGCCTGCCACCATGGCTCCCTCAGACTACAGCACAGTCTCTCAAGGGAACAATGGCACCTGGAATAAAGACAGGGCTATTTCCTCTCTGTAGCTGTGAGTACACGGCCTGTACTCCACATCTCAGATACAACAGGGTGCTTCCTTGATGCTCTGGCAGGGAACAGGGGTTGCTGGAAACCTCCTGGATTTCTGTTTGCTTGTTTTTTAGTTTCCTGCACGTAGTTGGTGCTTAGCAAGTGTTCAATGCTTACGGAAGGAACACGTTGATCTTTTTGGAATGGTCAGTTTTCTAAGGCTCACAGAGAAGTTACTGCACTATAGGCATCATGCACTGGTCTCTCTCTCTCTCTCTCTCTCTCTCTCTCTGTGTGTGTGTGTGTGTGTGTGTGTGTGTGTGTGTGTGTGGCCGTTTTGGGTCTGGCCTCACCAGACCTTGTAGTGGCAAATGCACACAGTCACCTTTGATAGCATGGAAGTTGCTCCATGATCTAGTTTCCTATTAAAGTGTCAAGAAAGAGGAAGCAAAGTCACTCCTAGGGGAGTGTATATATATACAGATATGTATATATATATACTTACACACACACACATACACACACACACACACACACACATATATATGTGGGTTTGTTCAACTTGCCACTTCCTTTCCTCGATGAAAGGGGACACGAAATGGAAAGGGCCGCCGGGAAATGGGAAGTGTGGGCTGGCGGGAATTCCAGGCATTAGCCATACAGAAGAGCTTACCGGCCAGAGAGGAGCAGGGACAGGCGGTTAATGGGTGTCTCGCCCTCCACGGCGTAGGTCTGCTCTGCGGCCAGCGTGAAGACCTGCTCGTGGCAGCAGTGGACGATCTTCTTGTAGGCCTGCGGGGGCACCCGCAGGGGCAGGCACAGTGTCTTGTAGAGGAGGCTGAACTCCTCGGGGCAGGTGTCCGCCCTCAGGCGGTACAGCAGGTGTGCCAGCTGGAGCAGGCACGCCACTGTCAGGAGGACATTCCAGAGGACGATGTCCAGCCCACAGGCGTCAAACCAGCCCCACAGCACACAGCAGAGGAAGCCTGGGCCCAGGATGCCGAAAAGATAGAAGCATCCGTACAGTCCGCTGCCTGCCATAAAGCCCATGAGCAGGAAGCAGTTGGCCAGGTGGTAGACGGCACCCTCCGAAGCCTGCTTCCAACCACTGCACACTGGCCTGTGCCAGAGGAGCTCGCCCACCGTGCTGCTGTTGGCACTCATTGCTGAGGCTCTCCAGGCCTTTCCGGGCTCTGATACGGTCCCCGCAAAGAAAAATGGAAAGGAAATCAATTAATCTGTCCTCCCCACCAACTCTACCTTTGCTGGCACGGATGCTTCTGGTGGCTCTGAGAAAGAATGGCAGAACATGGTACTCTTTGTGGAAGCTTGAAAACCTAAGTTTGTTTGTTTGTTTTTCTTTTTTCCTGTCTCTCAGCAAAGCTCTCGTCCTCCCTGTAGCACTCTGGTAAATGTCGCTGGCTCTGGTTTTCTCAGGATAGTCTTCGTGTTTAGTTCTTAGCGAAAAAACAGACACACTGTCTTGAGAGAAAGTAGGACTGAGACGCCAGAGACTTCAGCAACACGGGACGAAGCAGCCACATCCTGCTCTCTGACGTTCCCGGGCAGAATGAGGGGTGGAGAGCCAGCAGGACGGCCACACTTGTGTTCCATTTGGAATGCACGCTCTCTTGGCACCGGAAGAAAGGGTGACCCCGGAGGGATACCATGTTTGGAATTGGAATCCAAGAGGTACTGGCAGTGAGAGAAAACAGGCCAGGCAAATAGGCAGGCTGGCACGGCCCTCAGCATACCTCGGGAGGACAAGATAAGAGCCCAGGCCAACAGAGGAGCGGGGGATGGGGGCAGGGGGTGTCCAAGGAAAAGCAAGCAGAGCATTTAGCTCCATAGAGTAGTCGGAGGACACAGTGCAGATGTCCTGCCAGGAGGATTTGGGGATTTGCGAGAGGTAGGAGGACAGTTCAAAGTGGGAATGCCTGGGACTATTAACAGAAACAGCGCTGGCAGGGAGAACCGGAAGGCCCCGGGAAAGGTTTAAGACACTCCGAAAACATCTCCTGCGGTAATTAAAGCATCTGTGCAAGGCAGCCCCTTCAACTCTAAGCTGACACTCCTCTGTGCCCAGTAATACTTAATAAATGCTAACACGTTCCCCAAATCACCATCCCATCTACCAATCACCTCAAATCAGAATGGCTACTTAGGAAATACTCCTTTGGTGCCTGCCCTCCACTGAGCTGGTTATACACAGATTACAGTACTCCTGTGTATGATGACATATGCAGCGATCCCCGTTCTCCTAGAGCTGAGGAGAATGGAGCCTCACAGAGGTAACAAGTTCCAACATGGAGTTCCAACATGGCAGCAAAGCCAGGCCTGGAGCCCGAGACTGTCAGACTTAATACTTTTGTTTTAAGTGGGGTTCATGGTAAGCAGAAATGCTGAACCAGACCCATGATCCCCAAGATGTATGATAACTCTCAAGAAACTTCTAAATGAACTCAGGGGATCCACTTTGGACTGCCAAGAAGTGCCTGTGGCCTATGCAAACATTAAGCCAAGAGACCTGACTTTCTGGCTTCTGGAGGACCTGCTGAATCTCCACCCTTGGCTGCTGGGGTTGGTAGCTCCTTCACCCTGTTTTTCCAAAGATTTAAGTTGAAGGCTCGGTAGCCTAGAACTATCGGAATACTAACTCCATGGGGAGACTGCCTGAATTGAATAACCTAACTCGGAGGAGAAATCAGAGGTCATTAAAGTCAGAAGTCAATAAATGTCATTAAAATCAGAAATCATTAAATGTCATTAAATCTAAACAAATACTCACCGACTGTACAGTGTGGCCTGAATGTCACTTTACAAGGCAGAAACTACAAACAGCGGCAACTCGATGCTGGAAACAAATTACCAAATTAAGTTAAAAGAACAGTGTGGTCCAGGAAGAAGGGCAGTGTGGGGAGAAGGGCAGAGTTAAGGGGTGAGGGGTGAGGGGAGGGAATGCAGACTCTGTCTAGGTGAGATAGCAGAAGCAGAGTTACAGAAGTGTGAGAGTTTGGGGCACGTTGAAGGAAGACATTTTAAATTTTTAATTGGGATCAATTGATCTGCAAACGGTTTCATACTCTTCTCTCTCTGGAGAGAGGTAGGGAAAGGGCTGGGGCATTTGGAGAACAAAGCACCAGTCTCACACAGCAGGCTTTGAGCGCCTGATGCCTTTTTGGTGTTTTCTTCTTTCGGGTGCTTCACTCTCTTACCCAGAACTCACTGGACAGCCCAGGCTAGCCTTAGATTCTTGGCAATCCTCCTGGCTGCGAGGGTGGGGAGCTCCATGTGCTGCTTCTGTCACAGGCCTGCTTCCCGACCAACTTGCCTACTTAGGCAAGCAGCAGCTGTCTGCGCACAGACAACGGGGGTGGGGGGTGGGGGGGAGTTCCCTCCCAGGTTGGAGTCCCTGACAGCTGTGGGCAGGAAAGTCAGGGCGAGCAGGCTCAGGGAACCGACCAAGGCTCTGCCCTAGAGATAGAATTTCAAAGCAGGTCAGCAAGACTGCCCAAAGGCTTGGCCCTGACCAAGAGACAGGAGGGTCAGCTAAGCAGTGCTCCCCTGTCCCCTGTCCCTGTCCGTCCACCCATGAGCAGGGGGTACTAACATTCACTAAGCTGCTATTATTTTCTAATGTTAACAAGAGAGTATATTACTTTATTATCTATTTTTGGCAGGTTCCCACTCCATAGCCACTCTTTTTTTTTTTTTTTATGGAAGAAAACAGCTTAGAGTAGCTAAGGTACTTGCATAAGATCAGAGTCAGAAGGTGACTGATGATTCAGTGTGAGTCTGATTGTAATTTTCCACAACAGCAGCCCACCAGGTGTTTGGGGAGTGGCTAAGCATCTACAGGCACGTGGTATACCAGACGACCTGACTATGTTGCAGGTATGAAATGGTGAGACTGAAGCCCACAGATCAGCAGAATACAAAAGCAGGATGTTCTTTCCTTTAAAGCCAGTTTGACAGAGGTAAAAGAACAAATGCAGTGTGTGTGTTAAGATAAACGGCCTGATGAGGAAGCCCAGACATGAAAGCACACACCGTGGAAAGAAACAGAACGAAGGCCACTGGATGATTTAAGTCAGTGAGCATTGATTCAGGTTGTGAGGCAGTGACCCCGGGGACACAAAGATGAAATGGGAAAAAAATAAAATCCCCGCCAGGGAAGTTTTTGATCTACAGGGAGGAGTAACTTGGAAAAAAACAAAACAAAACCCTGAAATCTCATAAAAGATGGCCCCAGGTTTAAAGGGAAATCCCTGGTGGGGACCTGGAGAATAAGGGGAAACAAGGCAGGAAGGTGGCTTAAGGAGGTCTAAAATCGGATGTAGCAGGTGCTCTCCCGCTGGAGCGCGCTGGAGGACTAAGGAACAGGTGTGTGGGCAAGCCCAGACCAAACCTATGCACCTTGGTGCAACAAAGTAACACTTACAGGTACCGTGGTGAGGAGATGACGTGTCTAAGGATGAGAAGGACAAAGATAAACAGCAGCAGCCTAGGTTGTTCAGGTATGCCTCTGCCATGGTCATAAATGTGAAAGCTCCTATCTCCTGGCAGGACAGTGAGTTACACTTACGACCCTGTAGCTGGGTGTCCTGCTTTTTTTTTTTTTTGAGCTGAGTATGTCCTGACCCAGATCAGCAGTTCTCAGCCTTTGATACAGTTCCTCAGGTTGTGGTGACCGCCCCTCCCCCCAACCATAACATTGGTTTTGCTACTTCATAACTGTAATTTTGGCACTGTTATGAATCATAGTGTAAATATCTGTGTTTTCTGATGATCTTAGATGACCCCTTGTGTCCTTTGATCCCCAAAGGGTTCGAGACCCACAGGTTGAGAGCTGCTGCTCCACAGGCTCTTCTTCAGGGAAGAAGAAGGGAGCCTGCTTATGTTCCTGAACACTTGCTGACTGTCAGATTCTGAAAAACTGGACACCAATTTCTCATCCTCTACCAAGCTTTCTTTGATATTTGAGTCAACTATAAGAGGAACTGATCTCAATGTGACCATTCAGGATGACCTCATGCTTAGGGGCATGAGATGGAAACCTGGTTACTCAGTATCCATTTACCCCTTCCTCCTAGGAAACAGAATTTCAGTTTTGCCCAATGATCTGACAAGACATGGAAGGGGTAGGCCCTGCTTAAACCACTTAGCCTTAGGCGTGTCCCTGACAGTTACTGTTTTGTAAAAATACGAATAACCATATTGCTCAATCAGACTGGAAAGAGTCCACTGGGGAGAAGGTTCTGCCTCTTCTACTGTCTTGAACAAGAAAGTACACACTTGGTTTCACTGGTCTTGGAAGAGAAAACTCTAAAGATGACAACCGATCTGGGTGCTGGATGACACCAGCACCTACAATAAAATTGCAGGCAAAGTTGCCTCAACTCTGGACTCTTATGCTCGTTTTCCTTGATGCAGATTTTTCTATACTTGCGATTGAACTCACTGAACTTAACAAAGATGGAACTACTGTTTGAGTTTTACTTGTTTTTGCTTGTTTGTTTTTTATTTTTTAGACAGTGTCTTACTGTGGCACTGGCTGGTCTGGAATTCACTATGTAGATCAGGCTAGCCTTGAACTTGTAGAAATCTGCTTACTTGCCTGTGCCTCCTGAGTGCTGGGATTTAAGGAGTGTATCTTCTTGGTTAGGGGTGGGACTTGGTCTGGCTTGACCTTGAGCAGATCTTGTACCTGCTGTCGGTCTGAGTTCATACTGAGTTCATATGTGCATTGGCCCTGCTGTGTCTGGAAAACCCAACTGACACCTAATAGGAGAGGGAAAACCACTTTTCTTCAATGGAGTAAGACTGTACCCACAGCCACTCCCCTGTGTATCAACCACACTCCAGAGGAGGCGGCTCTCATGGCCAGGAGTAGTTGGCCAGCACAAACCAGACTCCATGGGGGGGGGGGGGTGTACCTGTAGAGGCTAGAGGTCAATGGTGTTATCACTTTCCCCTTAGTGAACCTGGGGCTCAGACTGGCTGGACTGGCTGGCCAGGAAGCGAGAGCTCTGGAGAGCTGCCTGTTTCACACCCAGCTTTTATATGAGGCTGGATTGGGAACTCAAGTCCCCATTTTTTTCGTGGTAGGCACTTAACCAAGGGAGCCATCCCCAGGCCATTTTTTTTTTGTAGCTAAGTAAAGAACTGTGGGCAGCATTACACATGAACTCTTGTGGGAAGCGCCTTGAACGCCCACCATAATATCAAACATTGAACAATTTGCTTATATTTACGTCTCATCAGAGTGGAAGTGCTTTATGAGCAGAGTGCCCATCTTAACAAATCTTTGTACTATGCGCACACCCAACCTGGAGCAGTGTGCCCTCTTCCTCAGCATTTCTGTCTGCAGGACAGGCTATACATGTCGAGTGTGCTGGTTAATTGCCATGTGTTCTTTGGGCTGAGAAGCTGGAAATCATGTTGCCTACTACCCGCCCCCACCATGCACACACTTCAGGTCCTCAACCTTCCCAATGCTGTGACCTTCCCAATACAGTTCCTCATATTGTGGTGACCCCCAATCAGAACACTGTTTTCATTGCTATTTTAGAACTGCAATTTTGCTGCTGTTACGAAGGGTCTCGGGCAGCACTGTGAAAGGGTCATTCATCACCTCCAGGGGTACGACCCACAGGTTGAGAGCCATTGCTTTAGACTCATCATGTTTGCGCCAAGTGTCCTCCAAAACCCATCCCGGGTCAGGCGCGACTCTTGGCTCAGAAACAAGGAAAGGAAAATCAAGCAGACAAGGGTGTATAAAACAGCCTTGAAAACAGCTAGAGAGTGAAATATTTCCAACAGAGATCACTGTTTATCCCACAATAGAAAACGCCTGTGTTGGAAATGGGAAGTTGGAAGGACCCTCTCAATCAGGAATTCCAGCCACCTTGGCTTCCCAGTCCACGTTTGCTGGACAACTGTAAGCAGCCGACGTGAGGATGTTACCTTTCTATACTCTACCCAGACTCTCTGAAAAAGAACTCCAGCTGGCTACCTCAACAGAGCTTCCTTGTTAATTTCTTTTAGATGTTTCTTTGATAGTATTTTGCTATTTGTTCTCTGGCCTTTGCTTACTAAATACTTAATAAATTCTCTCACAAATGAAAGCATGGCTATAAATCATACATCATTCTCTGGTCCAACAGAGCAAGCAGTAAGTCAGACCACATGACTCAGTATTTAGGGCTGTACTTATGCGTCATCAGGATGTACTAAGTATGTACTCAACGAATACATACCCACAACTGTGAGTTTCTATCAGATACCCGGTACAGTAAGCAGCAGCCTTAGATCCCAACCAAGACTTACAACCCGGATCATCAGCTATTTTGGTCAGGATAACTTCCTTGTCTCTAAACATCTGAACTCACCTCACCTGTAAAGCGGGGTTAGTTTCTCTGAAGCATCACCTGTGGAAGGCAGAGTAATCCTAGATCGGCCCTGCCTAGGGACATGGACCTGTTTCCATTAACTTTGAAGTTGGATAAAGTTCAAAGTTAGACAAAGAGTAAATGCATCTATACTGAGTTTACGGTCAGTGTAGCTGCGTCTATACTGAGTTTAGGAATTACTGTGCATACGAAAGACAAAGCAAAGAGGTATGTCAGAATTTGGTGGTCACCTACTAGATCAAGTTCTTTATTTTTCCATTGTTGTGTTAATATCTCTTAACATTATTACTGAAATGCTGCACACTGTCTCTGGGAAGGCTTGTGCACCAGAGAGGGGCAGTCTTCAACAAACGTTTTCAATGGTGGTGTTTAGTTCTTCACAAATCAGGTGCGACTTTCAGACTGGAAAAGGTTAAGATATCAATGTGTTGCCTGTGAGCGGAGGGAAATGGGACTCCTCAGCCAGTAGGGAACCCATGGATGTTGCCTTTCTCAACAGGAATCGGGCAGTATTCATTCCGGGAGGGGCGGCTGACACATAGGCAGTGCACATTCGTTCTAGTGAAGTTACAGTGAGCCACAGAACACATTCATACATGTAATGATGCAGGATTCTGTTAACTGAGCAAGATATTAAGGGGAACAGGCATTGCAATCTCAATAGGAAATAAGAGTCTATTTTTTAAAAAAATATTAAAACAGCCTTGTCTCTACTTAATTGGTGCTGGAGCAATTAAGAGTATTTGCTGCTCTTTCGAGAGACCCAGGTCCAGTTCCAAGCACCCAAACAATGGCTCTGTAACTCCAGGCCCAGGGGCTTTGACTCCTTCCTCTGGCCTCTGAGGGCACCAGCACACATGTGGTACAGACATGTGTGACACACATTCATATATATACAATTAAATCTTTTTTTAAAAAAAAATGTTGCACGTGATTGCATATACCTGTAATTCCAGCATGCAGGAAGCAGAGACAAGAGCACAAGTTCAAGGCTATGTTGGACCACAAAGAAAGACCCTGCCTCACCTTCCCCCAAATATACAGAGGATATGTCTGGGACAGTTTATTTAAAACTTAGCATTAGCTGCTGGAGTTATAGATGTTTTTCATTTTGTAGTCTAGGGTGTATGCAAGCAATCTAACCAAGAACTTACCAAGGGACTGACCTGGATGGGACATTCTTTTCAAATGAGAAAAAGATTCCTGTGAGTCACTGATAGCATGTAGCCAGCTGTTAAACCCAAGTCTGTCACACTTCAAAGCCATCTACTTGCTGGAGCTTTAGTCCTAGCTACTTGGGAGGTTAAAGTAGGAGGATTCCAAGTTCAAGGCTCAGAGTATACCCAAGTCCAGGAGACTTACTGAGGTCCTGTCTAAAGCACAGTATAAAGTAAAAACAGGGCTAGGGATAAGGTTAGTGGTTGTGCATTTGCCTCGCTTGAATAAGGCTTAGGTCTAGTGCCCAGCACAACTACAAAAACAAGAGGAAAAAAGAAAAGCCACACATTTAACCAATTAATTAGGTCAGACTTTTTCTCTCTTCCCACTCCCTTCTCTCTCTCCTCTTTTTGAGACAGAGTTTCTCTGTCTTAGACTCACTGAGTTCAAGGCTGGCTTTGAAATCAGAAATCCTGCCTCTTCCTCCCAGAGAGATGGGATTAAAGGTGTGTGCCACTGTGCCTGGCTTAGGTCAGAATCTTAAAGGATGTAATTGAGCTCTTCTATTGTGTAAAGGAATCAACTTTGCCATGCACCACACAGGAAGATTAAATATTCCTCTAGTATTGCTCCTCCGCATCTTCTGAGGTTTTTGTTTGTTTGAGGTTAGAGCTGAAGGCCTTGTGTATGCCAGGTAAGTTCTCTGTCACTATGCTCAATATCCAGCCTGTGTTTTGAGATTTTCAACTCAATGCACTAAAAGGCAAAATAAGACCAACTGCTTCATAAGCATTTAAGCACCTAGGAGGTCACAAGGTTGCTACAGTCAGTCAGTCACACTCTCTGCTCTGCTCCAGCTATCACTGCAGCATTCCTATTGAGCTATTTGGTGCTAGGGATCAAATGCACCTTGGTGTGTACTAGGCAAGCACTCTGCCATGAGCTCCAGCCCCAGTTCCTTGACTGGTCACTTTTTAGCATCAATCCAGCCTCCAGCCTGGGAAAGCTTCTTAAAAACAGGTAGCTATCTTGGCCCTAGGCACTAAGCTGTCTTTAGTTTGTTACCATATAACTGGCCACACACAACCTAACTATGACAAACAGTTGGGATCTTCCAAGCCAGACCATTCCACTTAGAGAGTGGGGAAAGGAAGAAGAGAGGAAAGATGGAGAGGGAGAAGAGAGAACAAAAGAATCCCCTCCCACTGGCAGGCCACCCTGCCTCCTGCGTGCTGGGATCACAGGAGTGGACCGCCATACCTGGCCAGTAAGTCTCACCTGAGATGATATGGCTGTGACATCATTTTGAACAAGTAAAAGATGTTCATTCCTATTTCTGTAAGTTCGGTGATTTTACTGGTCGAGGGGAGAATCTGCTTTTTCCTAACAGTAACTATTCAAAATCCCGTGATGGCACACTAATGAACAAAAAAACTCACGGCACAAGAGCCGCTACTGTGCTCTTTAAGAGAAAAAGGAAACTGAGCAAATTATGTGGGTATGTGAGGAACAGAAAAAGAAACACAACAAAGGCGGTTTAGCTCACTTTCTTTGCTTTTGTTTTTTTTTAATAAATTATAAATACTTTATCCATTTATCAAAGTTCATCCAAGAACTTCCAAAATATTTAATCTTCTTCATTCTTCAGGGATTATTCATTCACAAAGTAGGCCACCTGCAGAAAAGATTTTTATTTTAGAAAGTCAGAGTTCAGACATCAAACTGGACCTAGGGATTCATGGACTTAAAACCACCAGAAATAAATGCTTCATTCAAATAGTAAATAATTGTCACAATTGTTCTAAACCAGTCATGAAATAAAGATCTGCTTTTCAAAATTTTAGTCAGCTTAATTAATGACACCCCTGAAACTGCTCATTGTCTGACCTTGAGAAGCTTCTTTGCGGCAGAGTATCTTTACAGATGTTAAATAGAAGAGGCCTGGAAGCCTCAGCTCTTTCAAGAACTGGCCACGCTCCTCATAGTGGAAGGAAGTACGCACAGTATACACAGCTCCTGTGGAAATCCCCTCCTTGACATGAGGTCCAGTAATGGCCACAAAGACCCACAGAGACAGCAGCAGAGGACAGTGCTGCTGGTGGCCTTGGCAGGGCCAGGCTTCTGTCCATGACCCTTCAAACATCAAATTTAACCTAGGTGTTCTGCCTTGTTTTTAAATGTGAGTGTTTGATATAACCCCTTTTATTCATACCTTGAGATACTTTTGAGCCAGCATGTGGCTGGTGGGAATTGAACTCAGGACCTTTGGAAGAGGAGCCAGTGCTCTTAACCTCTGAGCCATCCCTCAATCCCTCAAGACCCTCTTTTGACCCTTAAAAGCAGAAAGAACCACTCATTTTCTGATAGTTCTAATTAGGTGCTAGATTTGTCTATCTTCTCTCTCAGTAAGAAAAAGTTATAAGACTGAAAAGACTATATAGACTCACAACCATGATACCTTATTTTTTTTATTTTTTAGTTTCAAGTCTCTGCCTCTGCTACCATTCTACCCTCAGATATTTAATGTTTAGTATATTCCCTATTGTTTCTTTCATGTTAGCAGATGGATGTTAAGGGCTTGAAAATCATCTCAGAGTTTGAGTCAATAGGTGACACTAGGGCTTGTGAATTCTGGAAAATGTCCCTTAGGTTTTCCGGGTACGGAGAGTGCTTTTATACGGAGTATAAGAGAGGCTAACACTCAGCCCCTCTGCTGTGAGCCAGGTCCAGTTAAACCTATTTCACTTGGGAATAATGTCAACATCTTAGAAGGTTTTTGTATTAAGAAAGGTTTATGACCACTGCTGGAACAACCTAAGTTGTGAACTACTTTTCCCCTGAAGAGGGTCTCAGAAAACATAGTCTACCAGCCTAAGAGACAGTTTAATCAAGTTCATTCCAGAGTAGTGCAGGCAGTTGTGCAGGGGATTACTACAGTCAAAGGCTTGGCTTTTGAGGTACTGCTCCCACGCATTCCAGTAACAGACCTTTTTAAGTAGTATTATGAGTTTTAGGATCGAAGATTAGCTAATGCACAATCCTAAAAATGAACATGCTGGCCATAAAATATCATTAAGTGTTAGGACTAACATGCAACGTGCCTCCGGTTTTGAGAAGACCAAAAATTTAATGCTCCTCCAGTTCCCTATGATGATGTAGGCAAAGCTAAACACAACTGACTAGAAAGAGCTAGAACATGAAGAAAGTCATGCACAGTTGCTGGGGCCTGTGTCTTTAAATGTCTTCTCCTCCGGCCATACTTATCAGGTAGGGCAAGCTCCTTATCTCCTTTCTGTACTTCAAAGACATGACTGGTCATGTGAGAAATTCCAAAGAGAGGTGGAAGAGAAAGAAACCAGTTCTCTGCTTAGAGTAAACTGGCATGTGGCCTCAGTATCTCTCAACTGTGCTAAGTTAGGAGTGACAGTGAGGTGCGGACTTGAGGGGAACACAAATAGAGTGCTTGCCTGGAGGCCGAGGTTCCAGTCTCAGGAATCCTGCCAGATGAGCCACTGCTAATTTCCCCATTCCTGTAATTAACCTTATTCAGCACCTACTATGTACCAGGCAAAGTGTAGATACTGGGGACATGCTGGGAGTGAAACCAGATGCTTCCCAGAGCTTCCATCCTAGCTTTAGGGAAGCAGGGACGGTCACTGTGAGAGGCTCACTTTATATGTGGTGGTAGCAAAAACAAGAGTAGCTGCTAGCCACATATGACTGTTAACCTTTTTATAAATTAAGAATTCAGTCCTCCCGCCTCATTAGGCCCAATTCAAGTGGTTAATAGTCATACATGGCTAGTGGTTACCATACTAGAGAATGTGGCCACAGAGCACCTCTGCCATCATGGGAAGGCCTCCTGGCTATGGCCGGAGAGTGCCAGGGAAGGGGTACTACTTTCCATGGGGCGCTGAGGAAAAGCCTCTCTAAAACAGCAAGTGGAATGCAGTGCCCTAGTGAGCAGAGTTAACAGCCGAAGCAAGAGACTCCAAACGGAAGTCATGGACTGTGGTACTGTTACACTAACATTCCTCTCAACACTGATATCTAGATTCAGAGTTCTTCAAAAACTGTCTGAGGCTTTAGTTTTATTAGAACAACATATGATTTAAAACAAATATTCCACTTTCATTGGCAAAACACAACACTTCCTACTGAAGACCTACACTAGAAACAAGAAACAAAGAATACTTCCCACTTAGCTCCTTTACCTTGGAAACTAAGATAATTCAAGTTCCCACAGCCATGAGTCTCTCTGACTATAATGCAACTCTAAAGGCTCTGCAGAGTAATATACAAACCTGAAGCAATACAGTTCACTCACCACATCATATCTTAAATCCTAGAGCTCTCATGCACTCCTTGTGGGCCTCAATGAGATGTCCACAGTGTTCTTCTCCTTTCTCAATGATGCTATAAAATAAAAAGCACTTGTTACCTAACAAGCAGACGTTAAGCACATTCATGGAGAATCTATGACAGCACAGGGGAGTGAGACAGTGAGTATGCAGAATGCAGCTGGAGTTACCAACAAAACTCTACCATACCAAACAGCTTGGCTCCTCTGCTCTCTGTGCTTGCTCTTATGAAGGTTCTGTGTGTGTAAAGATTTTCCATAGAACTAAGGTTCTGAGGTTTGTCTTTGTTATTGTTTGGGGAAGGGGCTAATTAGATGAAGTAATTATGGGTAGCAATGATATCTTTAGTATATACCCAAGGAATAATAAACATTTCTTTATAAATAAAGTGAAATAAAGTGAATATTTACATAAAATGAAGAGATGAGTTTAACTTTTAGGCCTACTGTCACCCAGGAATTAACTTCCTGTAGGTACTGGGAACATGCTGGGAGTGAAACCAGATGCTTCCCAGAGCTTCCATCCTAACTTTAGGGAAGCAGGGACGGTCACTGTGAGAGGCTCACTTTATATATATGTGGTGATAGCAAAAACACATCAAACACATAAGCCTACTTTTAATCATTAAACACCCCAAAACATAAACATCTCAAGAACTAGAACGGGCCAGCATATTTCTGCAGTCACATTCGAGAAGCTGAGGCAGGATAATCCTGAGTGGATATGAAGCTTGGGCTACATTTCAAGATCCTGTCTCAAAATGAGTTGGGGGAAATAGGTCCTACTATTAAAATCCTTACCAGGACATTAGAGTGGGTGGGTCAGTGAGTTCCGTATAACAGCTGGCATTCACTCATCACTCATACTGCTTAACCTTACAGAAATGCTGGGCTCATCCATTTATTGGACTCACCCAACACAACTAAGAGGCCGACTTGTTAAGTACCTTGTACAAGGTCACAAGTTGGAGGATTAGGATTCAAAGCCTGCCTATTCAAGGGTCTGACTCTTGACAGCACACACTTCCCAAAGTTTCCGTAAGCAGGTATTACCATCAAAAAAACCTCAGTATCAGACCAATCTTTAAGTTCTCTATTTACAGTACTGCTTGAAAAGTAGTGATAATAAAATAACTATAATACACCAACGAATACTTTCTCTTTGTGTATGGTTTCTGAGACATGGTCTCACTGTTGCTCAGGCTAGACATAAATCCTCCTATCTTAGTCTCCCCAGAGATTACGTGGGTGAAATAATTGGATATGCACATCTACATTATCTGAGGACTCCATTATTTGCTCCAGAATTGTGCCTACAAAAAAGTGAGAACAAACAAAACCTTCTGTGACTTGATGATAAAGGTAAAACACTATTATCACCTGTTTTCCTGACAGGTTAACTTTTTAAATTTTGTCTTTATTTTGTGTATTGGTGTTTTGCCTGCATGTCTGTCTGTGCTCCATGTGTGTCAGTGCCCGGAACAGCCAGAAGAGGGTGTCGGATTCCTCTGGGGCTGGAATTACAGACCATCATTAATCAATCATCATGTGGGTGCTGGGACTCAAAGTCAGGTCCTCTGGAAGGTCAGCCAGTGGTCTTAACCACTGAGCTAGCTCTCCAGCCCGAGAGAGGTTGACTTTTAACCTCCAGCTCTTCTAAAAGGGGAAAGGGAATCCCTTCAGAAATGTGTCCTACTGTTCACACGTTTTGGAAAAATTCTTAGAATTATCTGAAATATTTACCCTTTGGTCTTGCTAAGTCTATCATAGCTGGTGGTACAGTATTGGTTGATAACAAGTCTCCACGTATTTTAAGTGTCTTTAAATCAAGGAGCATCTTTACGCACTTGCATTTATCTGGACCCAATACCTAAGAAAGTTATAAGCCATTCGTAGCAAGGAACAGGGGACGCGAACCTTGGGGCCAACCTGACCTCTCGCCCTCTCTCTTCACCTCTTAACTAAGAATGTGGTGCGGGCTTAGGAAACAGAGAGGACTGCGAAACTACGGGTCCCCATAACTCCAGAGTGTCGGCGAGAGGGCAGAGCAGAGCCGAGCCGAGCCTGCGGAAGCCGACCGCCCCTCCCCGGCTGCGCACTGACCACGCATCGCGCGCCTTCTTGGTCTCCGGGCAGGCGCAGCAGGGCTTCAGTGGCTTTTTCTCCTGAGCCTCAGGCGGGGAAGGGCTGGCGGCGGCCAGACCCGGCATCTTTCCAGCCGAAAGCAGCAACGGGCGCACTCGCGTAAAGCTCCCAAACGCCGGCCAACGATAGCTGTCCGTACCCACTTCCGCAATCAAGCTAAAGAGGACAGGAAGTCCCGCCTCTCGGGACGGAAGCGAGCTAAGAAGCGCGTGCGCAAAGGGAGCGGGACAAAGGCCTTGACCCAAGGGCACGGATTCGGCGCAGGCGCAAAGGTTAAAAGGTCATCCATAGTGTTTTTATTTTTGATGGGGTAATTTAATTGCAACGTTTTCCCTTTCCTTTGCTTTTATACAAACCCTCACTTATACATACTCCTTCCACACTATTCAAATTCATGGCCTTTTACCCTCTAATTGTTATTGCATGTATATATGTGTATATACACACATCTACATATATCCGGATATATACACATATACATACATGTAGATGTATATATATGTATGTATATATTGCCGTATAACCTGTTCAGTCCAGAATGTATCTGTATGTATGTTTTCAGGGCTGACTTTTGGTCAGCACAACCAAATGGTCATGGGCTTTTCTCCAAGCAGTTTAACACATTCATGTCACCCGGAGTTTTAAAGTGGGTTGGGGCAGGCCTTGCAAAGGTGGAGGATGGGGAGGCAGCTGGGCCTCTAAAACCCTTCCATGGGTGATGAAATTATAGCTGAAGAAAATCAAGTGGCTTCCCTGTGCTCCATAAGAGAAACCATTCCAGAAATCCAGTTCTTTTGAGTAGCAGAACCAGGTTGCACTCTGGGGCGTTTTATGATCTCCCTTCTTCCCTTCGTCCTTCACGTTGTACAACATGCAAATGTTGGGCGCAAAGGTCCCCCTACTTCCTATTCCTCTCTGGCATATATGCTAAATCTTCAGCTAATAGATCATGACACAGGGGGCAGAAAAGAGAATGTGGGGCTTTTTTTTTTCTAGTTTCAACTGTCATGACCCCCCACACGTGTGTGTGTGGGGGGGTGTGTGTGCGCGTGTTGAATAAGTGAATGAAAGGTGACAGGGAAAGTGAAAAGTTCGCGGGGAAGCCCCATAGCTTCGAACTGGCCACCCTAAACTATGCAGAAGTTCACTAACGTGTAGCATTTGGCACATGTTTACATGGCTTCGGTAAACTGAGTTTGAAAAGTGGCTTTGTTTTTAAAAAAAATATAAACATTTATAGACAAGGATTCTAGCCTCAGCTGGCCTTGAACGCTCTGTGGATGGCTGATCGTTAAATGCTGGAACTACAAGTGTGTGCCCTCTATACCTGGTTTATAAGGGTAGGCCAGGCAAACAGTCTACCAACTGAGTTACATGTCCTCAGCCCCTGCCTGGTTTTACTATAAGTTGTCCAACCGTGTATTTGTTAACACCGTGTATTTTATTAACACCAGTTAATAGAATTAAAAACCCCTTTTCCTGGCATTTATTAAATTTGAATAGGAACACTATGATCTTCAGCATAATAGCTTCCATGTATAGCGCCAAGTGTGGGTCACTTGACCTTCATAACAAACTGAGGTTCAGAAATACATATGTTCAGAATATTCGGAAATGTTCAGAGTTGCATATCTCCTGAGGTTCTGCCTCCCGCAGTGTTCCATGTATTAACCCATGCAATGTAAAGGCAAAGTAACTTTTACTTTAAAGCCACTGACCTGTGTTTACTTGTGTTAACTGCATTTTTATAAACAGTAAATGTACAAGGGGAAAAAAAGGAGAGAACTGGAAATTTTAAGGAATAATGAGGATTGAGTTTGATACAAATTGTAGGCCGAAAGGAAAAAAAAACTGAAAATTTTTGCAACTGATGTTTTTACTCCCTTTGTGAAGGAAAAATCCTGGAATAAGGGCAGCCTACTCTGAACCTCCTGAAAGGCTGATCAACTGATTAGAGCTTTAAAGATGTAGTGAGGGTAGACGGTTGTTCGTTAACAGCCAAATGGTCTTGGCACAGCTTTAGCCTGGCTTAGTGGCCATTTATTCTCCCCCTTCTGTGTGTGACCTAACAACCTTGTGCATTAGGTAAATCCTTCGGACTGTACTAGCAGACCTCCCAGTTTCCACCAACCAAAAGGCAGAGAATACTGTCAGATACCATCTGAGGCTCCGCCTGAGCTTTCCTCAACTTCCTGTGACCTGTCTACCCAGCGTTTTCACCACTGTATTTGGGAAGTGTCTTGATTTATGATTTTCTTTGTTTCCGTACTATAAAACTACATGGGAGTATCATATCACCATTGGAATGTGAAATTTGGGATCATGTGAAACTGTATTCTCAGACCATTGTTATGAATATTTGTCTCCAGAATAAACTATCTTTTATCTCTTTGAGGTAAGAGTTGTGTTATTTTGGTAAAATCTGTGTGTGTGTTTGTGTGTGTGTGTTTGTATGAAATCAGTACTGACCACAGCAGTTCTATGTGACATCCTTAGTAGCTGTAGAACTCAGAGAAAGAAATCTCCTGCTTCTTGCTTCCTTTAGCTAGATGTGGCTGAGACCCTTGGCTGTCTCTTGAACACCATGGTCTACAATAGCTGCTTCTTTGAGGTAAGCTGGCCTGCTTGTGGAAAAAACAACAACAACAAAGAGAAAACTGGGAATATATATGTGTGTGTATTATATGCAATTATTGTTTCCCACTTAATTCGAAGAAAAACATCAATAACCTATTTCCCAGAAAAGAGCTATAATTAAATATTACATCGAAGGACTTCAGGGATAGCTTAGAGGGTAAAGATACTAGCCACCAAGCCATTTAATGACCTGAGTTCAATTCCAGTACTCAGATGATGGCATGAAATTAACAACTCCACAAATGTGCTGTCATGTAGACACCACACCTACACACACACACACACACACACACACACCAAAATTTTAAAACTTGAAAACAGGTAACATATGGAGACTAATAAAATATTAGATTAGTAATAAGTTTCATGCTTTTAATATCCCATTGTTGTTCCTCAATTTTTGTTTTAACTAGGAAATTTTACTCTTTTTGGCTCTAAGACTGTTGTTGCTACGATTACTAAATTAATAGGCAGCAAGCTTGACATGGTGACTTGAAGAGAGTTAGATGGCAGCAAATGGCAGTTCTGTGAGTGGGATCTAAGGCACTAACACAACACACAACACGATTGCTTTTTGAAAGTTCTTCAGTGGTGTGCAGCCCTGGTCTGCGCCTACCATGCCCGAGTTTGGTGACCTCACCAAGAACAGGTGGGCGGCTGCTACTCACGGAGAGGCGGTGACACCATGTGTTGAGCGATGAGAACTACAAGGCTTAAATTCTCATCAGTCCATTTAACAGCTAGCCTCTGTTGTCCTTAGAGAACTAATTTTACTTAGTATTTGCATATCTGCCTCTGAAGGAGGAAAAACAAAAAAAAAAAAGCTTTCCAATTCCCCAGAGGAAGTGATATCATACAACATTCTCTGCTTTCCAGGTGCCTGAAAAGTCTTGAGTGTTTTTTTTCATTTGCAGGTCAGTTCTTAAGTGATAGTAGAAGCCATCAAACTACTAGGTCACAGATAAAAGAGTCCATCACTCGCAGCAGCAGCACCAGCACCAGCACCTTTATACCAAGTTTCCAGAATCCCATTTCCCACAGGTGATGTAAAAAACACCAAGTGCTAGACGCACGTATTGCTTCATAAGAACACGAAGTTCTTAATGAAGAAAGTAAGAAAGTCTCCCTCCCTTTTGCTTAAAAGACAACGCTGTCTTTCTCCCCGACATTGTCTCCTACTCAAAGGGACAAGAACAGACAGTGCTCTCTTTCTTGTGAAAGACACAAGGAAAATTAGCCCCCGTGGAGAATTCTCTCATCATGATCAAGTCGTTCCATTTAATTAACTTTCACTGATGAGCACCCCTCTTCAGTACCGATGTCTCTTTATACATAAATGGCTACAGCCTAACATCACACAGGTTGTTCATTAGTCATTTATGCCCTGCCCAAACAAAGCCGTAGTCTACACTGTGGCAGCAACGGTCAACGAAGTCATAGGATGCGGTGTAAGAAGAGACAAGTCACTGTCTCCCTCAATTAAGCCATATGAGAATAGGACAGAACAAGAAGGCAGCCATTGGTCAGCCAGGAAACCCTCTGGCCCTTATGAGAAACAAAACTGACCTTCGCCTTCCTTATGTTAGGCTCTCTAGACCTATTGTGGGAAATGAGTTTCTGTTGTTTAAGCCACGTTAACTTAATGACCCATCACAGCAAGACATCTGTATCATATCCTAACGGCAGCACCCATTCGTCACCTTACAGTCTTTATAGGTCAGGGGTCTGGGAATAGCTTAAGGGTTTTACCGGATTGCAATTAAAACTGGTAAGAGTTGTTGCTTTATCTGAGCTTCCAGTGGAGATGAATATGTTCCCAGTCTCATTCCAATTATCAGAAGAATTCAGTTTTCTGTGGTTAGAGGCAAGAGCTTTGGCTTCTTGTTGGTTATCAGTGGGAGGCCACCTCAGCTCCTAGAGGCCATTTGCAAGTTTCTTGCCATGTGGGGTTCCCCAACATGGTCATTTGTTTCCTCAAAATCACTAGGAAAGGGGAACAAAATGGGCATTACCGTCTCTGTAGAAGAACCAATCACAGAAGCACTTACTTCCCACCGTGGTTTGTAGTCTTTTGGTTAAAACAAGCCCTAATACTCAAGGAGTCGGAATCACATTGGACCACGAGGCATGTTCAACTCAAACCCACAGGCTCCATCCAGCCCAGGATAGTTATGATGGCATCCCGGTCTGAACTTTCTTAAAACACTGAACCTAAAAAAATTCTATTAGTAGTAGTGTGTGTGTGTGTGTGTGTGTGTGTGTGTGTGTGTGTGTGTCCAGCACGTGGTAACCAGAGGACAACTTTATGAAGTTGACTCTCTCTGGTACCTTTACATAAATTCTGGGGGTCAAACTCAGATCATCAGGCTCCATTATTTCAGATGGCGAGCGCTTTTACCTGCAGAGTATCCAACATTAAGGCTTTTTGGTGAAAACAAACAAAAACCAAGTCAATTGTGAGGTGCTAGAGTGTAACCTGTATGTAGAAAACTAAGAACACTATGTGGCAAGGTGACAAGGCTGGACGTGCC